CTTTTTTGCCTTCTCAGCTGGGGCCTTGAAAGGAAGCAGGTCAGTGCTGAGTCCAGGAATGGCCTTATGTGTACCCCTGTGTTCAAGATTCTCAGGCCATAACAGACCCCAGCCAGACACAGTACTGGGATCGATTAGCAATGTCTGCTCTGGGCAGAGGTGGAGGGAAGGACAGAATCAGTGAGTCCCCCCATGGCTCCACTCCCCCCAGCCTCATTTCCCTCTTTCCACCATTCGAGCCTCTTTTTCTTTGCTTTATTATTTCTCTTCACATCGGTCTTTCTTGTTGCTTTTCCTCCCTCTTTGCTATATTGGACACTCACAGACATTAGAGTCAAGGCCTAAACCTTGGGGGCTCTGTCAGTCATGGCCTGGACCATCTCTGCCATCTGCACAGCCTTGTGTTCCCGGACTCTTCTGCATCTGCTTCTGCGTTCCTGTGAGAGCTCTCACAGGGGGCGGTGACTAGTGATCGAACCCAACTCTTTCATTTTCATCAAACATTCATTGTGTACCTACTGTGTGGCAGGCCCTTTGTGGCCAGGTTGGGTCAGATGTGGCCCCTCCCCTCAAGAAGCTGACAGTCTCTTGGGGGAGAGTGGCAGTCCCCCAGATGAGTCATTGTGATAGAAGTATTCTGGCAGGAATATATGCAGGGACACAGGAGTCTAGTCCAGCCCACAGGGGCAGGGAAACTTCTGGAGGAGACACCGTCAGAGCTGAATCCTAAAAGCTGAGGAGCAGGGACCAGGTGAGAGAGGTCATTGGAGGCCAGCTGTCAGGATGGGAATGCCAGGCTGAGCTTAGCCTTGACCCACAAGATCCTAGACAGTTTTCACCATGGATGTGCAAGAGTCAGCCTGTCAGAAGGTGGCCCTGGTGGCAGGTGGAGAAGGGAAGGAGATGCCTGCTACAGGCAGCAGGGCCAGTGAGGTGGCTGAAGGACGTGAACCAGTGCAGGGCTTGTCTATGCAGAGCCAGAAGCGGAACCAAGACCTCCTGCCTCCCTGTATCCAGGTATCTGGGCTGGGCCAGCAGTTCCCAAAGCATGGTCCCTGGGACCAGGGTGCTGCAGCTGAATGAGTCTGGGAGACACTGCTCACAGTATGCCCATCTAGGGGTCACGATGTCTGTTAGCAGAACAAGGGCTCTGAGAAGTCTTGCATCTGACTGTTTAACCCAATGTTTCTCAAACTGTGTAACTACAGAACACACTTGTTCACATCCTGAAGAGGAGGCTGGGAAGCCCTGGATGAGCCTGGCTGCCTGTTTTGGGAGTGCTTTTTTCTGGAATCTGACACTGCTGGAGGTCTAAAGTGAAGACGGTAACTGTGCCATCAACTATGCAAATGTCACTGGCCTCGAGAAATCAGCCAGGAGCAGAGTGAGGAACCTCTAGTTCTGGCAGGGAGGCTACTGAGGAAGGGGAGACTTATCACAGCTCCTCTCTGTGATTTGGGGCCACTGGACTCCTTGGTGCCTCACCTTCCTTCAAGGGAAACAGGTCAGTGGAAACAGTCCAAGAATGGCCTTATGTGTATCCCTGTGTTCAAGATTCTCAGACTGTAATAGACCCCAGCCAAAGTCAGTGCTGGGATCGATGAGCAATATCTGCCCGGGGCAGAGGTGGAGGAAAGGGCAAGCTGTATGCAGGGTCAGTGAGCCCACCCATGGCCCCACTCCCCTCTCTAGACTTCCCCATCTGTAAAATGGGTATGATGAGAGTGCACCCCTGCCTCTTTTCAAAGATGTGGGGATTAATGTGACAAAGTGTTGAACAGACCCAAGGAGTCAGGATGTTGTGGAGGAGGAGACGGCCTGCCCTGGCCCAGACACACTGCGGTGATGCAAAAGAAGTACTGGCCTGGGACTAGGGTCTTCCCTTACTGACCGTGGGACCAGGATAAACTGCTGGGCCTCCCTAGGTAAGAACAGGGGCTGCAGGCACACCCACTGTGTGTAAAGCATGAAGCAAACAAGCAGCGGCAAGCAGACCGAGTTATAAAACCATGATGTTCTTTATTAGCTAATAAGATACATCTGTTTTTACAGAAACAGGTCCACGGGAGGCCCAGGGTGGGGCTGCTGGAGGGCGCAAACAGCTGTGAACACAGCACATGGGCACCAGCAGCACCGGGCAGGCTTGGGACCAGCTGACTGTGGCTTAAACCACGAGAGAATGCACTTGCTCACCCTTGCGTGTGTGCCACCTGCCTGCATCCGGGTTCTCAAAGTCAGGAAGAACCCACCTCCCTCCTCAGGTCACCTATCTGCTGACAACCCTACCCAGAGGAGGGCTCTGATTGGTTGAGGTGGACCTTCACTCGTCCAAGTCCAGCCCATGACTGTGGCCCTGGGGAATTCTGGACTCTGGCCACACCTCAGTTCAGAATCCTCCTTAGGTGAGGCTGCAGTTGGGATTCCCAGACCCACAGGGGCTTTGAGGGAGGCAGACCCAGAGGCACTGCCCCCAGCAGACTCTCTGGGCTGCCATGTGGGGACGCAGGGAAGATGTTTGAGCCTCAGGCTCTGCTCCAAGGAGTTTCCATTCCACCCACAGGTCTGGCACCTTGGAAGGTGGCACATGGGGGGAGTGGACGGGCGGACGAGGAACCCTCCACTTCCACGGCTCAGACACTGCCTGGGCGGGCCTGAGTCCACAGGTCTGTTTCTGAGGGTGGAGGAGAAGAACCAGCACCTGGGGGCTGGTAGGTGGTCAGTCAAGGCATTCTAAGCTTGGGGCCAGAAAGCTGCAGGGGTCCTCGAAGGCTCGAGCGCTAGACAGAAGGGCTGGCTCCACGTCGGAAACACTGTGGGATCCTGGGCACGTGATTCTGTCTTGCTGGAAGTTTTCCCATCTGTAAAACAAGGGGTTTGGAGTAATTCATATCCGAGGTCCTTCCAGTACGCACACAGCGGTTGCGCTTTCCTGAAAGGCTGTATGCAAATGGAGTTCCGTAAACCAAACCGAAGTGGCTCTGAAGAGCGCCGCGTCTGCCGGCGCGCCCCTCCCCCGCCGGCGCTGCCGCGGGGACAGCCTGGACTTCCCCGCAGCGAAGCCGGCTGCGCGGCCGCCCCGTGGGTCGGAGTCCAGTGCCCCCTGGTGGCGCCGAGGCGGGCAGGCGGCTTCCGGACCGCGCGGAGGCCCGACGGCTGTGACTCAGGGGTGGCGCGGCTGCCAGGGCGGCGGGAGGCCTGACTGGGGTTCCGTCGTGGGCTGAGCCACGGCGCAATTAATTACCAGCTGCTGGGAATCCTTGTCGCCCGCTCGCGGTGACTCACCCGGCAGCCAGGCTCACTTGCCTAGCGCGGGGGCCTTGGTTTCCAAAATGAATTCTGGGGAGAGTGCCTGCTAGGGGTGGGGCTCCCCGCTCCTGCGCCCCAGGGCGCCCGCAGACCCAGCGGGGACCTTAGGGCTCAGACGTATCCCACAGCGCGGGCTCCCCTTCCCTGGTGGTCACCCGCGAGCCCTGGAAGTGGGGTGCAGAGCGTCCCAACTCGGGAGCCTCGTTGAAGCACTGGGGTCCCAGACCCTCTGGGCTCGGAGTCCCTGAGGCCTAGGAGGCCGAGCACGGCTCCCAGGGTCGACCCACAGAGGGGATTGGTCTCCTGGAGCCCGCGAGCTGCGCAAGAGTTTGGTCTGATTCCCCAGCCACCCCTTAGCCAGCTGCTATCCCGCTGCCAGGCGACACTTTCCCATCTCCATCTCTTCCTTGGCTGGAGTCAAGAGAGAAAGGGGAGCCCCGGGGTCTCTGAGGCTTGGGTCTGTCGGTTTGGAACTCCACTGCTCCTGGCTGGACTGAGGAAGCTGGTGGTCAAGGGAAAGCCCCTTGAAAGCCTAAAGGGAGAGGGCGGGGAGGAGGAGGAGGCCGAAATGGGAAGGAGATAAAGCCTAGAGAGGCCTCATCTGGAAGCAAGGAATAGGTGCGTCCCGGCCCTAGCCTCGCGTTCCTACCCCCGGTGGTCCCGAGAAGGGCTACCGCGTGGCTCAGGGCTGCATCCGGGGCGCAACTTGTGCCCAGCTGTGGGGAACCAGGGTGTTTTTTCTTTTCTTTTCTTTTTTTTCAGTAAAGCAACAGAGAGGGTATTGGGTCGGGGGATGGCGATGTGTTTCCCCGCTGTCCTGACTCCAAAAGTGGCAGCCCATGCTATCCTTAGCGCTCTCCAGGGGAAACGACTCAGGTCTGCAGGTGCTGGGCCAAGCGGGCTGTGCCGGTGGGAGGCGAGGGAACAGAGTCAGCATCGGGACCCCACCACTCCACGAGGCCTTGTCCCTGGCCAACGACACGCTCCCACCTCGGGTGCCTGGGCGGGGGCGTGGAGAGACCTCGTGCACCGCTGCCGCCGCGCTCCGGTGTGCCATGGCCCCCTCCCTTTCTGCTCCCCACTCTCCACCCGATCTGCCTGAAGCTGCCAGTCTGCCATCTCTGGCTGAATCCCGTTTGTCTCCCCCAACCCTGAGTCCCTCAAACTCTCCACCAGCCAGGGCTGCTTGCGCTCTTGGGGAGCCGGGCTAGAAGCACCCAAGAGGCCGCGTTTATCCTCCCATCCCCCGCCAAAACTGGCCGGCGGCTCCGCCCCCGTCCCCTCCCTTGAGGCTCAGGCCGCCCCTCCCGGGCTCCCTCCGCGTGCGCCCTGCGCCGAGCTCGGTCTGCAGCGGGAGCTGCCACAGCAGCCTCGCCAGCTGGCTGGGGACCAGGCGGGAGGTGGCGCGCCCTGGAGGCTGAGGGAGGGAAAGAGGGAGGGAGGCCCGGCCTCGGCGTAGCCCGGCCCCCGCTCCCCGAGGCCCTCCCGCAGGAGCGGGGCTGCCAAGCGCACACACACACGCACACTCACATACACACTCGCACACACACACTCGGGCTCCCAACGGCGCGCACGCACGTAGCGCCTGGGGCAGACCAGCGCAGCGGCCGCCTCCCGGGACGCTCGGACGCCGGAGGGCCCCGACCCCCGCGCGGCTCATGCGCCCGCGTCCGCTCGGCTGCTCCGCCAGGCCCGCGGGACCCCTCCCGCCGCCGCCGCCGCGCCCGCCGCCCCCGGAGGAGCGGGCTGGCCGACCGCCACCGCGCGGTCCCCAGGCCGCCCCCGAAGCCGCTCCATCGCGGTCCCTGCCGTCCTGGGGCCGAGCCCGGCTCCCGCGCCTTGGGGGTTGAGCCGAGCAAACTTCGCGCACCGGCCGACGCCCGGCAGGGACCCCGCTGCGCCCCCGCGCGCCCGGGTGGGCGCTGGGCTCTCGGACCTTTGGGGAGCAGGCTGCCCCGCCCGCTGCACCTGCTTGGCCCCCACCCCGCTTGCAGGGGACTCCAGAGACACCGCCACTTCGCAAACTTTTCCTCCCCACCACCGAGAGGGGGCGAGGAGGGGTAAAAGGGGAAGCAGGTCCCGCTGGGCGCGCGGACCTGCAGGCTTCTTTCTGGGCGCCGCCAACCGCGAGCTGGACCCACAGGGTTGCGGGGCCCCGCGGCCGCCCTCCGGCCGCTTTCTGGCCCCGGTTCCCGTCCCTGCTTTTCCCGTGAGAGCGGGGGGCGGGGTGCGGAGGGCAGCGAGGCCCGCGCGGTACCCAGCGGGGCCGCCCTGCATGGCCCTGCGCAGTGGGGCGGGCTGCTTCGGCCGGGTCTGGCGCAGGGTGTCGGGGTTCCCGGACGCCTGGCCCCGGCGCTCGAGCAGCCTCCTGTGCCTGTCCGCCTTCTCGGCTGAGCCCGGGCCCGCGCCGCCCCTGCCCCGCCAGCCGCCTCGCGGTGGCGGTGGCTGTGGCGGCCCCAGCGGAGGGCCCCCCCCCCAGCCTCCCCGCCCCCCGCCTCCCCGCTGCTGCTGCTGCTGCTGCCGCCGCCGCTTACAACTTGGAGGCGGCGGCGGCGGCGGCGGAGGAGGAGGCGGCGGCGGCCGCCGGGCGCTGCAGTGGGACGCGCGCGGCTGTGAGCCTGCGGGACATGCCCCCCGCGCCGGCTCCTTGCTGGCGGCCATGAAGAGGCAGAACGTGCGGACTCTGTCCCTCATCGTCTGCACCTTCACCTACCTGCTGGTGGGCGCCGCGGTGTTCGACGCCCTGGAGTCGGACCACGAGATGCGCGAGGAGGAGAAACTCAAAGCCGAGGAGATCCGGATCAAGGGGAAGTATAACATCAGCAGCGAGGACTACCGGCAGCTGGAGCTGGTGATCCTGCAGTCCGAGCCGCACCGCGCCGGCGTCCAGTGGAAATTCGCCGGCTCCTTCTACTTTGCCATCACGGTCATCACCACCATAGGTAAGGGCTGGGCGCGCCGCCGGGCTCCCGCGCCCCGGGAGGAGTCCGGGAAGGCGGCAGAGCGCGCGGCGCAGGGCTGGGTACAGGGCGTCGAGGGTTAAACGCAGCCTCCCTCTGGGTCCTTCCCGCAGCGCCCCCTCCTATCTAGGGAGCCCTCACCTCTGCGGCGCGCCTCCGAGCCTCACCCTTCGAGGACCCCACCCGGTGCTCTCCAACGCGCTGGTGTCTGGGCCAGGCGTGTGAGCCCCGAGAGCGAGTGTGCCTGAGCCGGGAGGGCGGAGGCGCCACTTTTGCGAAGAGAGTGGAGCGCTAAGAATAATCCCATAGCAGACACCCACCCACCCACCGCCCCGGCGCGGGCTGGGCTGCGCGGGGCTCTGAGCCTTACACTTACTACCTCTCTGGGAGTTGGAGAGGGCTGGCCTGGTACCCATGGCTCCTAGAGGGACTCAGGTGGCAGGGGAGTGCGCCTGGGGGGTGGGAGTCACTGACCCTCCATACCCCCTAGGCCCCCTCCACACTCCTCTGAGCTCAGATTTCATCTCTCTTCCCTCCGGCTCCTTTTTTCCTCCCTGAGTTCCAGTTCTGGAGCTTGGGCTTTCCAGGCCCCTGAGAGGAGAGAGTTTGCTCTCTGGTGCTTGTGGTGGGGGTGGCAGCCCCTCAATTGCTCTCAGTAGAGGTGGAGAGTGGGGGCAGGGCAGAACCTGCCCACTCCCTAGGCTGTGACAGTGGGAAAGGCTGGTCTAGATATTGCCCAGAGAACCAGGGAACTTGAGCCCCAGTCTTGAGAGGGGGTCCTGCTGGTAGACTACAGGGATACCCAAGGGCGCTATTCACAGAGCAGGGTCTCTGGTGAGTCCCAGGGGTAGTGTTCCCTCTAGGGCTGGGGGCAGGGAGGACTCCCAGACTTTGTACTTCGAGACCTGTGGGAGAGGGGGCCGGTTCCTCCATCTGGGTAGAGAGGTGGATAACCTGCGCGTGGCAGCAGGCAGGGTAGTGTCTCTGGTTCACTTGTCCCAGTGAGGCAGGCTGCCTCTCTAGGGCCATCTCCTTAGACCTCTCAAGGCCAGTGTGTTAGCTCAGGGGTGGTCTGTTTCCTGAACCCCTCAGGGCTTGATACCCCTGTGCCCTGGGCAGGGGTCTCCTCCTTTCCCCGACTTCTCCCCAGCTTCTCCTGTCTTGCTTCTCTGGACCTCCTCCTCTAATTTTCCCCTTGATATTTTTCTTTGTCTGCAAATCTCTGCATGCTGAAAAAACAGGATTTCTCGGTGCCATATGCAACAGGAAGTGCCAGCACAGGACGGCCTGTCTTTCCTTCTTGGTTGAAAATACTTTTTAGAGAGTCATCTTGTTTTAAATGTTTAATTCATTGGTGCAGGTTTTTCTGTTTGTGAAGGAAATTGTCCTTCTGTTATCTACATAATCAGCCTGGCTCCTGCTTGCCCCACGCCCTTTGCCCAGCACCCCAAACACAGATGACTCCTTCCCTTCCCACGCTGTTTCCAGCATCTGAGAGGGCCAGTCATTGCCATCATCTCTGGCTTTAAACTGTAGTAGAGGCATGCAGATGCAGGGCAATGATTCTGGAGGACAGGGGCCTGTTTGCTGGAGAGCCGGAGAGTAAGAAATATGCCTCTGAAACTGAACAGCCCTGGGGAGGGGAGAAAGCCCCAAGCCCCTTAAACATGCCTTTAGGGATGAAGTCGGAAGACAGGTGAAATTGGCTAGCATGCTGGCTTCCAGTAGTAAAACAGGCACAGAAAATGCTTGGCTGATCCTGAAAGTTGAGCTTGCAACATCGAGGAGAGGATTGGTGTTCAACGCAAACCCTGAAATGTGCCAGTTTTCCTTAAGACATACATTGTTGAGACTGATGAAGTTCATGCTGAGGTGTGTCTCCATGATTGATTTTGATTGGTAGTTCTGGGTGTATGCCTCTAATGGTTAGAACTCCAAGGAGAAGCTGTCAAGGGAAGTTCAGCCCAATGGAGGGTGTCAGCTTCACCTCAGGGGCTGTGGGACTTGTATGAATAAGAGACGGAGGCCGTCTGAGGGATTCGCTGATTTTCCTCGCTTCCTTCTTTGGGTTTTCCACTGATTTTCTGGAGAGAAAGGTTGGGGGAAAAATGCATGTGTGTGTGTGCCCGTGTGTGAATAAAAGACAGCTCTAATGCTAACACAGCTGTCCGGTTGTGGAAAGACATTCAACTTGGAACCCACAGACCTGGCTCGGAATCTGAATTCTGCCATAGTGTAAGACCATAGGGAGGTCATTTCCCCACTTCTGACCTCAGTTTCCTCCCCTGTAGAAGGGACATCCCACAGTAACCACCTGACAGGCTGACTTTTAGGGTCCAGGAGAGATCCCGCAGGCTGCAGCTGCCAGGCACAGTGTGGCCGACACTTAGTGGGAATGGAATCCACGCTCTTGGACAAAGCCTGATGGAGCCTCCGCTCTCTGCCCTAAGAAACTGTGTAGCAGAAGAGCTCAAATTTACAGGAAACAAAGCACCTTTCCAGTTAATTCTGTTCCCCCCTTTTTAATATAAATGCAAATTGAGGTGCTCCTAGGCCTAGAACAAAACCCAGCCCCAAGCCTTGCCCTCCAAGGAATTGTCTCCTATTGGGCAGTGATATTAATGAGTCAGGTTAATCTTCATGGGTGTTCTGATTTTTAATCTAACCTTGAGCTATTTCTTGAGTGTGCTTCAACTTTTTGTCCAAGTCTCCAAGGCTAGGACGGGAGCCGCTGGTGCTGGGTGGCCACGAATAAAGGCTTCTTCTCAGATGCAGTTATTAGCTTGCTCTGTGAAATGGATTTTTAAAACATATATAATAGCCACTTCGAGTTGGATCTGCAGCTGAACCTTCCTAAAAGGCTTTGGAGGGATATTACCCTGAATCGCTCCAGCTCTCCGGGGATCCCAGGGCACAGTGACCATCGTCATAACCAGGGAAGAGCAGGAGTCCAGCCGGGCCCTGCAAAGGGCAATTTCAGTTACATCATTCATCAAGCTGTTTCCATTCCTCCCCATTGGCTTCCTTTGATGTCTCTGCCACTTGTAGCTATTTCTGCGGAGATTATGTTTAGTTCTAAACTTGTGAAGTGCTACACCTTTGGATGGGAAACCTTTGTATATACCCTGTAAGTATATAACCTTTTGGTTAGGGGTTCAGTCTGAGCTGCCCCTCAACCCCTGCCCCCGACCAGCTGCTGGGGGAAGTGGTGGAAGTCAGAAGCGCTGGGGCCAGGATCTGAACAGGGTGGAGGAGTTTTCTTTGGATTTGGCCTGCTTGGGGTTAAAGCTCAGGTATGTAAGAGACCCCTGGCACACACATGTGACCTTCCTGCAGTAGGCACTTGAGCCTCTCCCCAGGATCTCACAGAGCTGGAGTCTCCATGACACTTCTTTTTCCACTCTAACATCTGTGACCCAAGTTGTTATTACCCTCAGGATCATTAAAAAAAGAGAAACCATGCCTAGAAATCAGATCTCATCTGCAGAGTGCAGAGGACAATTGAAAATCGGTTTGCATGGGGAAGGAGGGTAGGAGAGGTAGGTTTTTCCTTTTTCTTTTCCTACAGTTTGCAGGAGGGAGAGCTGTACATTAGGGGCAGTATTTCCCTAGAACCTCGGGCCCATCTGAAGCTAGGAGAGGTTGTTGCGGGAATTGAGGCGGCTGGCTTGGGGCAGGGTGCGTTCTGAGAAAAAGCTTTGGGGTTTCTGGAGGTGCCTGGCTCCCAGGCCTGTATCTGCTGGAAAACAGAGTGCCTTGGGAAATCTTCCTTTTCCCCTTCATCAACAGCACCTTCAACAGACTTTTTGTGAGACAGACAGCATTTTCTATTTTTTTCCTGGTACGGTTTTGGCACATGGCTCACACTCTGAGCAAGCACCTGCCCCCCCGGCCTGTGCTGCTCCTAGGCTCCGAGGCTCTGGGGACCGTCTAGATGACAAGATAAGGCCTGGCCTTGAGACGGGAGAAGGAGGGAGCTGAAAACCCAAGCAACTCGTTGTCATCCAGGGTGCAGTAGGGGCAGCTAAGCCCAGCGCTGCCTGCTGCCTGCTCAGCACACACAGAGGGTGTGCTCCTTGGTTGGCTCCTTGAACCCATCTTGCAGGTGCTTGTCCTCCAAAGTCTTCCCAGCCTTCCCTTGTACTGGCTTCCTCAGTCCCAGCCTCGTTGTTTAATGAATACCGTGCTTTCTGCTCCAGGCCTTAACTGTGTGTGTTTTCCCCACACCTTCAGGGCCAGGACAATGCCTGGCCCACACTGGGCTTCCCGGAAGGAAGGCTGCAGAATACAAGCAGCACCAAGCAGACCCCACGGGCTGGTGCTGGAGGAGCATGGAGCTTCCACAGGCATGCACTCACCTTCCCTACTTTACAGATGAGGAAACTGAGGCAGGTGAGGCCACACACACCAAGGCAGAGGATCTGGAAGTCCGCGCTGCAGTTGGGATCTCCTTACTGAAGGCTCTGACTGTGGTGTTTCCTGGGGCCAGGGCTGGGCCTGTGGAGTAGTTCGACTTGTGTTTCCTTCTCCTTTTAGCTCTGCCCTTCAGTGAAACTGCTCAGCAGACCCAGAGGAAGGGCCTGCCAGTGTGGCATGGGTGGGCCCAGAGGAGTGGGGCTGCCTCAGAGGAGTGGAGCTGCCTTGGTAATGTCCAGTGGGGTAGCTGGCCATGCCAGGGAGCCAGGAGATGCCTGTGGACAGCTCCTCTTCTCCTGCCCCTTCTCTGACCTGGGCTGGCTTAGCCCCAGGCCCTCTAGGAAACACTGCCTCTTTATAGATGTCATGGATGGGGCAAAGAAATGGGGGCAGATGTGGGGTTTCTTCTGATTTCAGGATACATCAAAGAGACACATAGGTATGCAGAGACACCCAGCATGGTGCTCTGAAGAGGGTATGGGAATCAGGTGAGACCCAGGAGTTGGAGATACCCACTGCCTTCTCCTACTCTTTTCTGGGTCACTTTCATTCGTGGAGTTATGAGG